ATATGAGTGTGAGTGGATATCCTCCTAGTATTATATATATATATATATATATATATATATATATTTTATGAGGGGTTTGTGCATGCATGAGGCAGAAGCAAACATAATGCCATATATTAAGGGGTTAAACCATAATAATATATAATCGTAAAATATGTGCATGCGTATATGCATGCAAACAGGGAGGAAAATTCTAGCTGCATGCATGCATGCAAGAAATGGATGAACGCATGCAAGAAAGAAGGCTTATTTTTAAATGAAAACAATATTACGTACTTTAGCCAAGTCCTCATTTCCTGTACAACTTCTTCTGTTGATTTAATTGTGCCTTCTACAACATTGGTTCCTGCATATTTAATACTACTCGCGGGGAAATTAACGTCTGCTGTTTTAATGGAGACCATCGTTGGCTCGCTTGCCAACTTCTCTGTACACACAAATACACACAAAACCCTAAACCCTAAACCCTAAACCCTAAACCCTCAAACTCAGCAACTGAACACCGCTTTCCACAGAGGCGGCAGGCGCAATGCCCAAGAAGCAGGTGAGTCTACCTGGAGGTGACAAGGGGTTCAAATCAATTGTTCTACTCTATGTTTCCTTAATAAACATATTCAAATAAAATACTCACCCTTATCGGGCTTTTCAGCCGCCCATTCTCCCTGGGGCTTCATCTTGCAATCGACGGAAGAAGAGGGAAAGCGGAACGATCTTCGTGGAAAGCTGCGGTAAATTTGAATGAAATGTTAATTTTAACGGAAATAAACCAGTGATATGAATAAAAAAAAGATTTTCCTGATGATTCTAAGCTTCCTTCTCCCGTTCTGACAGTCGCTTAAACTCACGCTCTGGTTGCTAGACCGCCGGCGCGCCCACCATGACCACTCAGCGGTTGCTGGGGAAACCGAGAAAAATGCTGAATTTTAATTCTTTCAAAGAACAGATATAAATAGAAAACGCAAAATATTCAAAATTGTACTAATATTCAACAAAATACACCACTTTTACTAACTGATCCAAGTACACCTAGCGGTCCATCGTAGGCGCGCAACTCGTCTGCCGATACAGCTCAGCAAGCTGATGCAAGAAGAAGGAAAAGAATCGCTGCACATTAAAAGAAGAGAAAACTAGTTTTAATAAAATATTAATTATAAGCAAAACTATACAGGGCTATCATTCACCTTTTCTCGCGATGCTACTTTCCCCCGCTGCCTCAGTTGGGAGAACAGGAGCTAGCCCGAGAGGAAACAGGCAAAACCTCTGAAGTTTTTTTGAAATTAAAAGATAATAAAATGCACTCAAAGTAAAAAATAAAAGCAAAATACAATCAAATGCAAAGAAGAAATGTCAAGGGGGAAATTACAAGCAGATACATCCCTAGACCAACCCTAAACACTAAACCCTAAACCCTAAGGCATAAACCCTAAACCCTGCTAACTAACCAAAGCGGAAGGATTGCATATCGTCTTAATCTGGGGTTTATGGATGAGACGGCACCAGTAACAGTACTTTTATTATTAATGAGGCCGTATGCGCCTCCTTCTATACGGTTTAGTTTAGGTTGGGGTTTAGGGTTTCAAGGGTTTAGGGTTTAGAACTGAGCGTAATTGTCTGGTGGATATTTCTCTAACAAATAAACAAGAAGTAGAATAGCAAAACAAAACACTAACAGGACAAACTCGTAACAAAACGACAAATAAAAGCAAATAACAACAAACTAATAACAAAACAAACAACAAGTAAAAGCAAACAAAAAAAAAACAAACAACAAAACAAACAACACCGAGGAAAGGTGTACGCGCTATGCACTCCCTGAGGCCTCAAGAATGCATTCGAGCAGCAAAAATAATTAAATCTAAAAAATGCTGTCATAAGAAAACCAAATACAGATAATAAATCGTGTACAGAGAGCTACACGATAAACAATATATAAGTAATATACATACATATAAACAGATACAAATATGCATATATAATAGGAATATAAATACAACACACAGAACAGACGAGGCTACTATTGTGATATCTTCTATATTTTTGTTTTGTTTAGTTTTGTTTGTAGCCATTGACAGAGTTTTAATTCATTCAAACCCAACTAGAAAGAAGTTAAAGGCTAAATAAATAGTAATAGATCTACTAATATAAATATTATGTAAAGCATCATTTATATTGTTATATCTACAAATAAACAAATAGGTTAGGAGTCCGTTCATATAAACAAACTTCAAGACAAATTAAAGTAAAAAACAGAGAGGCCGCTTCGCCCTCTCACAAATAAAAAGTTTCGAGTTAAATATATCGAAGTTTATTTAAAATATTTAAACAAGTTTATTTGCAGCAGCTGCTGCTGATAAACAAAACAAAAGAATAATAAAACAATAACGTGTGATAATAGGATAATACTAAAATGCTAAGTAATAAAATAATAACTGCTGTTAAAATAACACGAAAAAATATATAACAATTGAGTATTGACAGTATATATACAAAGTAAGATATAATAATATACTCTTAATCATTATAAATGATAATAAATATTATTATTATTTTTGCTGCTAAGATGAGAAGAAAAAACAAGAAAAAACAAGAGCTGTTCCTCCCTCCCCAATAAAAAGTTTAGGGCTAAGCAAATCAAATTATACTTCAAATTTAATATTAGCAACAAATGCATATTATTTTATATGCTAGAAGACATATAATATATATATATATATATGTATACTACTGGATACTATAAAACTATATACAATATTAAATATATATATATATATTAATTATATATACTAATAGCAATATATAATATTGCTATTAGTATATATAATATTTAATATTGCTATTAAATATATAATATTGAATTAACAACACAAACGTCTGCTGTTTATGTATATCTATACAAAGGCGGAGTCGCTGCATTCTGTTATGTTTAGTTATAAATATATCTATTTAAAATCAGACATTTAAACAACTGTCTGCAATGTATAAAGAAAACCCTATTCTGCTGTACAAACAAAACCTATTACTTGCTGCATGCAAGCAGCATAATCAAGCATTTATATATTTTATACATATTACATATATTCTATACTATATATATTAAATATGCATATTATATACATGTATATCTAGACAGCCAGTGAGTGCTTAATAAGTAGACGGAGAACAACGCTATTAAAACCCTTAAACCCTAAACCCTAAACCCTCTTCCCTAAGCCCTCAAATAAGCGATTACCTGTTGCTGCTCTATCCAAGTGTATCAACGCAAAGATTAAGGTGTACAGACAGCAGCAGCATGCAGCACATGAAACATATCTTAATTATTTTAAGAGTATGTTGTACTCCTCAGCCTTAACAAAACTCTCCCCTGCACCAGCGGCTTGCAGCTGCAAAAGAAAAGCACAAGAGGAAGGGTTTAGAGTTTTATATCTTTTTATTAAATAGATAAATGTATTTAAACAACAAACAAACAATATCGACAAACAAACAAACAAATAAACAAACGAACAGCTGGGCCTCGACCAGCAGTTCATACCTAGAAAGCCCCGGCAGCTGTAGCTGCAGCAGCAGCAGCAGTTGTTTTGGCTGCAGTTGCTGCTGCTGCTGGTTTGTTTATTTGTTTGTTTGTTTGTCTGTCTGTCTGTTTGTTTGTTTGTTCTCCGCTGTTCGCTTTGCTGTATCTGCGCGACACCCCGCAAGTCCTTCGCATGCAAAAGAATAAAATATATATACAACAAAACAAAACAAATACCCATAAAATAAATAAAATGAAGTAAAAAACAAAGAGGCTAAAAGACACAACTGCCTAAATGAGCAGCTGCAGCAAAAGCCAGTAACTAAACATTTTCTTTATACAAGAGAAAAAGAAAAAAGATGTATAGATAATGCAGTTAAGTTTAAAGCATCAGCTTTAAAGTAATAGAAACAATCAAATGACGTATCGTTGCGTGCACTAAATTAGAAACAAAAGCATGTAAAATACACAAGAAGCTAAACCAAACAAAACACAAGAACTCGCCGTATCTTGAGTTTGAAGAGGGTATAGACACCCTAGTACCAGACTTAGTCTAATTTGCTGCATTTCTGCCTTTGTATGTATCTGTTTTCAGTATTAATTATATTAATTATACCGCTACAAATGAACGGTTCGCTGCAGGGCTGCCTATTCATTCTTCTATTTCTCTAAACTATAATCCCCTCCACCTGCTGTACGTACAACCGACTACACGCCGTTGCTGCAGCAGCAACTCTCCTTGTGCATGCACGCATCAAAGTTGCTGTTTTGAGTTTTTGCGTGCGCCAATTACTCCATAAAAACTCTTCCCCATCTACCCAGAAGAACGGTGAAGTAAGAGATGAAACAGCGCAATAAATAGAAATCAGAACCTTATCACTAGGGCGACCTGAAAGAAAAAAGAAGAAACGCAGCAAAAATAGCAGAAAGTACGCATAAACAGAGATGAACAAAACAACACAAGAAATAACAAACAAATTATAAAACTCCAAAAGTTATTCAAAATGATATGCTGTACATACACCCTAAAAATATCTGCAACTGTGAAAGTCAAACCCGCACGACTACTAGAGAAAGCAGAAGAAAGCGAGTAGATTTTTTCGTGTTTTCTGCGTTTTAATACATGAACATGCATATAACTCCAATCACTTTTCACATTCTCAGGAAAAAACAAGAGAAAAATACACAGCAAATAATCGCTGCTTTCCACATTTTCTGAATATTGAACAGTCGACGAACCTGAATAAATTGGCCTCCAGATTTCTTCGCTCGGCCAGCCGCCCTCTCTGCTGACGAAAAAGTCATAAAATAAACATTTAGAAAAAAGAGGTAAGCAAATAGACACAAAAAACATCTTGAAAAGGATGGTAAGAAAACTCATCATACAACTAACTATGCATGCATAAACACGAAGATAGAACAAGTAATCAATACAACAATTTATTAATAAACTCAGCAACAAAATATCTGCTATGGCTTCTGCCATTAGCAGATCCTCCTCTTTCTCAGTGCAGATTTGTGTGTATCGTTTCCTCTCGTTATATTATTATCATTAAAACATAAAATTTATTATTTACATTTTATGTTTATGCTTTATGTTTACGGTTGTGTTAATAATGTCTGCTACTGTAGAGCAGCATATCTGCGGCAAGTGAAGCGGTACGATAGACAAAGAATGTTTTTTGTGTTGGTTCTGTTTCCTCAAGAAAGGCATGAAGAGCAGCAGCAGCAGCAGCAGGTGCAGCAGCGGTGCTGCTGCAGCAGCAGCTGCCGCTGCAAACCCATTTCACTTACGTAGCAGCAGACTCCCCGACAGTCCACAGAAAGAAGAAGACAACAAGGAAGACGTTACTATCTCCTGATGCGTCTATACTGCTGCTCTCTTCCCTCCCTATTATAGAGGGAGACAGCAGCAGCAGCAGCAGCAGCATCAGCATCAGCATCAGCAGCAGCAGCAGAAGCGACTGCGGTCGATCGCCCCAGAAACCCCCAAAAGGAGAGACAAAGGCAACAGGAACGAACCCTAGCACAAACAACCACGCACTAGGTATTCAGCCTAAACCCTAGACCCTGGACCCTAAACCCTAAACCCTCAAACAGGCGTTGCTTTCCGGCGTCACTTGCAAAATCGTCCTTGCAAAAGACAAACCGCTAAACGCTCCATCTCAAGAACAGCAACAACAAGAAAAAGAAGAAGAGGAAGAAGAAGAAGAAAGAAAGTAAAGAAACACGTAGAGGGCCCCTTAATGGTTTTCTTGCCTTGCTAAGAAAGACAGAGACGTGGCGACAGCCGGTGAGAGAGAGGGTCTGTGTGCTGAACAGCAAAGGAACACAAAACAGCAGCTGCAACATGCTTTTGCTGCTGTTGTTGTTGCTGCTGCTGTTGCTGCTGGTGCTGCTGCTGCTGCTGGTGCTGCTGCTGGTGCTGCTGTATAGGAATCAGCCCTCTGCTGCTGTTCTCCCTCTACTTCTTGTTGGTGTTTCCCTTGCTTTCTGCTTCTTCTTCTTCTTCTTCTTCTTGCTGTCTCTTGCTGCACGGCGTGCTTGTCTATCACGCAGCCTTTCCTGCTGCTGCTGGAGCAGCAGCAGCAGCAGCTACTGCTGCTGCTGCTGGTGGGCCATCGAAGAAATGTATGCTTTCCTTTACAAAAGGGTGTTGCAGCGCTTCATCAGGTGTAAGGCGCTTCTGAGGGTCTAATATCAAACATTTCTCTAAAAGATCTCCCAACTGTCTCATCTTACGCCGTAAGAAATTCATCTTCGGGCTCGAACCTGTACATACACACAAACATAAACCTGCTGCTGCTGCTGCATTGGTGCTGCTGCTGCTATGTTTATATATATATATATATATATATATATATATATATTAACAATAAATAAACAGGTGTTGATTGAATACTTGCTTTATAAATCATCTTTTAGCCAAGTCGGTTTTATCAGAAGAGAGTTAGTGCTATGGATAAATACACAGGAGATAAAGAGTTATAATAAATAAATTCTTTAAAGAAAACACTCTATAAATGAGTCAATGCAATAAACAAATAGAGAGTAAATAAAGAGTAAATAAAGATAAATATATAAAATAAGACGAAGAGAGAACTGTATTAATGCATTAGCTTCAAGCTATGTTTGTCATATATATATATATATATATATATAAATATAGATATATATATATAATGAGTAGATAAAGGCTAAATAAAAATTAAAGAAATAAATAATATTAATGAATTACCTTTAAGCCAAGTTTGTTTTTCTAGAAGAGAATCAGTAATACTTTTCGTAGGTCTGAGGTCGTGAAGGATGCGAGTTGTGTCTCTCTTAGAAAAAGAGTCTTTAACCCTATGTATGAAATCTAAGTCTTCAGTAAAATGCAGAGAAGACAGCATACCCGCTCTTATTAATTTGTTAGGAGGCTTTCCTTTGTACTCCATTATACACCGCAACATGTCGTTGTTCGTGCGACCCTTCATCACATACAATAAACAACAAACCCTAAACCCTAAACCCTAAACCCTAAACCCTAAATATCAACAAACCCTAGAGAGAAATAACAAATAAAAATACAAGAGCAAGATCATTAAACCCTCGCCCCCCCTTCCCAAAGAGCGCTGACTGAAAAACCCTATTTATTTATTAACACCGCAGAATAAAATAAAGAAGAGAATCAGCGAATGCTAATTAATACACTCCTCAACCCTAAAACCCTTTAAAGGCCCTTCTAAAACCCTCAAAAACCCTTTAAAACCCTAACCCCCCTTCGAAAGAACTTCAGCAAACACTTTGAAGACAAAGAAGCCTTTAAAAGGAGTAAGCAGAATAGTAAGCTGAACACAGAGTAAATAGAAGAGTAAGATAAATAGAGTAAACAGAAGAGTAAGATAAATAGAGTAAATAAAAGAGCAATATAAATAAATAGAAGAGTGAGATAAATAGAGTAAATAGAAGAGTACGATGAATAGAGTAAACAGAAGAGTAAGATGAACACAGAGTAAATAGAAGAGTACGATGAATAGAGTACATATAAGAGTAAGATGAACACAGAGTAAACAGAAGAGTAAGATGAATAGAGTAAATAGAAGAGTAAGATAAAAAGAAATAAAGGTGTGAGAGCCGCACCGGGAATAAGACCTGGCCTGTAGCGAGTTCATAGAGAGTTGCTGCTGCACTCCAAACATCAATTTGCGAGTCATATTTAGCCCCCAAGATGATTTCAGGGGCTCTATAGAATCTACTGACAAGATAAGCAGTAATATCGTTATCACTGACATCGCTAGCACTGCCTAAATCGCATACTTTAAGGGTGCTGAGCCGCTCATTTAACAGGATATTATCAGGCTTTAAGTCTGCATGCATTATCTTGCAGCGACGCATATGGCGAAGAGCAATAAACAGCTGCTTAGCAAACGAATGAATTGCTGTAGGGCTTAACCCTTTACCCCCTCCGAAGGTTTTTAATGCAGTTCTTAGATTACCCCACAGCCATTCAAAGACAAGACAGTAATGCCCTTTATAATCGAAGCAGCGTAGAAGCCTAACAATATGTCTTCTATTATCTTTATCTGCTGCATTTAATAGCCGAAGTATATTCATTTCTTTCTCAGCAGCTCTTCGCATCATGTCGTTCCTTCGTATACACTTCACAGCAACAAATACGCCTTCTGTGGTGTCTACGCACTTCAATACGCTGCTAAAGACGCCTTTTCCTACAGAGTCGCTTTCAACTCTATACCTCCCCCCTAATAACTCCCCAACAGTAGCTTTGTAATAGCCCTCGCTGTCATCACAGTCTTCTAATGATGTTAGATCTGCTGCTGCTGCTGCTGCTGCTGCTGTTGCTGCAGATACACCTCGACGCTGCACACCTCCACGACGCATATTACTCGAACGAGGAGCAGCAGCAGAAAACATATCTAATTCATCTTCATCTCCGTCAAACCCTTGATCTTCATCACCTGCTGACTCTGCTGCTGCTGTTGCTGCTGCTCCACTGCTACCAGCAGCAGCAGCAGCAGCAGCACGCTCATGGTCTTCCCGCATGCGAATTATAAATGTACGCAGCTTCAGCTTCTGCTCTCCTAGCATTTTCTGCAGTGAAGACATATCTAACCCTTTCAAAGAGCCTCCACCACCTGCTGCTGCTGCTGCTGAATCCCCGCTGCCTGCTGCTGCCTCCTGCGAGGCAGCCGCTGCCCCCTTTAAACCTTCATCATCATCATCTGCTGCTGCTGCAGCAGCAGCAGCAGCGGCTGCTGCTGCTACTTCCTCGCTGTCGGAAACGCTCTCAGGAGATGACAACCCCCCTCCAGGAGACAAACCCTCTGCTGCTGCTGCTGCAGCAAACAGCGAAGCAGCAGCAGCAGGAGGAGGCAACGAAGAGTCGCTCCCTGCCTGATGCGAAACATCCACAACACACCCTAAACCCTAAACCCTAAACCCTAAACCCTAAAGGCAGGTTCGACTAAACCCTAGACCCTAATTGCAGCTTCCATGCCCCACTCTCCCCTAACCTAAACCCTAAACCCTAAACCCTAAACCCTAAACCCCGTGAACTTACCGCTATGGTTGTTTGTGGAGTGCTGCCTTCTGCGTTGGGGCTGCCCTGCGAATTTGCTGTTGCTGTTGCTGCATCCGCTGTGTTGCTGCCGCCGTTGCTGCTGCTGGAGTGGTTGCTGCTGCTGCTGCTGCTGCTGCTGCTGCTGCAGTTGTTGGTGTTGCTGAGCTTTGCTAGGAGCGCAGCTCTTTGCTTTCTTCTCTCTTCTAGGAAGCGTCTGTCTCTCTCCTCATCGGAGAGAAGTTCGTCATCATTTAAACCCCCGACATCATTTACATCTTCTCTTTGTTTGTCTCCTTCTCTGCTTCTTTCTCTGCTTCTTTCTCTGCTTCTTTCTCTCTCGTCTTCTCTGTAGCCTCTGCTTGGCTGCGGACTTCGACTGAGAGTTTTTTGACTCTTTCGGTATGGAGACGACCCCTTAGAACGAGCAGCAGGAGAGAGTGAAGCTTCTCTGTCTCTGTCTCTGTCTCTATCTCTGTCTCTGTCTCTTTCTCTGTCTCTTTCTCTGTCTCTCTCTCTGTCTCTGTCTCTGTCTCCTCCTTCACCTTCTTTGCCCCGTGGGTGCCGCCTGAATCTCCTGTCTCTGTCTCTGTCTCTGTCTCTGTCTTCTTTATATCTGTCTCTGTCTCTGTCTCTTTCTCTCTCTCTCTCTCTGTCTCTCTCTCTGTCTCTCTCTTTTCTCTCGCGTCTCTTAGAGGGCGATGTCTCTCTGCTGCTGCTGTGGCGGCGGCCTCTCTTGCGTGAATAACCTGAAAGAAAACCGCAAACCCTAAACCCTAAACCCTAAACCCTCGATAAACCCCTCTGAAAACAAACACTAAACGCTAAACCCCTAAAACCTTAACCCTCGTTTAGCTTAGCTTACTGTCGCGGTCTCTGTCTCTGTCTTCGTGCGCCTCTTGCCTTCTGCGAGGGTTTAGCCTAGATCCCTGAATATGCATGCACAAAATAAAAGAGTAAACCCTAAACCCTCTTTATTCACATTCAGGTGTACGAGCACCAGGGCAGCTGCTGCATCTTCCCCCCTCCCCCTCTTCTTTCTTCTTACCTCTTCTCGCGCCATATTTTCGTGGTTCGCGTTTAGAGTCTAGGGTTTAGGGTTTAGAGAACGAAACCCTAAACCCTTGCAAATGCACAAGGTAAGAAGCTCCTATAAGAAGCCCCCACCAGCAGGGCTAACAGCCCGAGCTTAGCGGATGAAGATCAGCAGCAATTCAACGCACACAAGCAAGAGCAGTTTATTTAAAGACAATTAATCAAAAAAAAGAAAAGAATTACGTTCAAACAGTAAACAAATATACACCCTGAAGCAGCGAAACCCAGCTCACGTACGCGAAGAAGAAACAAGGGAATCTGAGGTGTATCTGCAGCTCTGCTACAAGCAAAATGAATTCTCAGGAGTGCGTTTTCAGTTTAAAAAGAAAATAATGAATAATTATCAAGGAAAGCTGAAGTCTAAATACGTTGTTCTTGGCAAGTATCTGCCTATACACCCCAAACTGCGGACGGCGGCGCTGCGCTGATCTTCACCCGTTTCCCCTCTAAATTCCTTTCTGCTTTGCAATTATAATAAACAAATCAAAGACTTCCAAAAAAACAGAAAAGACGAATAAGTTGAAGCCAACTTGTCGATGTTTCCCCCGAAACCTGCATGCGCCGTCAGCCCCATTGAGCTGCAGTGTATCCGCAGCTCGACTACTGCTTGCGTTTGTATATTATATTTTTCTCCTGTTTCAGTGGAATTATTTCTAAAATTAAGATTTATAAAGGCTTTTTTCTTCAGTTTACTCTTCTTCCGCTAGAGAAGAAACTGCTGAAGCCTTTTTTTCTCTCTATTCCCCTCTTCCTCCCCAGCCTCAAGATAACAGCGCGAGCAGCAGTCGAGAAAAAAAATTTTCCGGGAGAAGTTTTTTTGTTTAAATATCTTAAGGGATGAGTTGTGCATTAATTGAATATGTCTGACGAATAAGTATATATAGGATGTTTTATTTAAATTCTCCCCGTTGTATTAACGCTGCCTCCCCCCATTTAAAGCTTCCTTTCCCTAATAAGATCAGCAGCTGCTGATTACTCTCTTCTTTCTCCTCGTGTTGTCTCCAATTCTATTAAGGGTTATCTCTGCTGTCTGCATGCAGACACCCCAGCTGTCTATACACCCGAGTTACTTGTATGCACGCAGACAGTTCGAAAAGAGTAATAGTAAGAGATATCCTAGAATACCTCAAGATGCAAACATAAAACAACAAATATATTTCTCTGTATTCACAGACGCTGCATGCAGACTGCTGCTGCCTTTTCCTTCTTTTTTTCTGTTTTTACTCCTTTTGCAACTGAATATATTTAAAGTTAGAAAGACAATTGAACTAAATAAATAAATGAGGAAATTAACAAATAAATTAATAATTAAATTTATTAATTAGTTAATGCATTGCCTGCCGGTCAAGTGGGTTTATAATAATGACTTCCTATATTACTAAATATAATTGATTTGTAATTAATAATAAAATGTTTTATTATTAATAAAAACAAAATAATTTACCTCAAGGAGCAAACACAAAAAGAAGGGGAAGAGAAAAAGAGACAAAGAGAAAACAGAGAAAGACAAAGAGAAAAAGAAGAGACAGACAGACAGACAGAAAGAAAAAGAAAGAAAGAAGTAAAAAGCAGAGAAAAGTAAAAGAAGGATAGAGAAAGACAGAAAGAAAAAGAAAGAAAGAGAATAAAAAAGAAAGAAAGAGAATAAAAAAGAAAGAAAGAGAATAAAAAAGAAAGAAAGAGAATAAAAAGGAAAGAAGTAAAAGGAGGGAAGTGAATAAATAAATAAATAAATAAAATTAAAAGTAAGATAAAGAAAGAAAGAAAGAAGAAAGAAGTAAGAAGAGAGAAAGAAAGAAAGATAAAAGAGTATAGCTACCCACAACACAAACAAAAACAACGAGAGGGCCTTTGTGTCTAAACCCTAAACCCTAAACCCTAAACCCTAAGTGCGAACCCTAGCATTAAGGGCTAACTCTAAACACTAAACCCTGGAGGCAACACAAGCTGCTGGGTTAGCAGAAGAGGCTTCAAGTTTAGGGTTTAGGGTTTAGGGTTTAGCTAAAAACAAACCTAAATACGATAATAAGAATAAACAACAAGCGAAGACTGACTTAAAACAAAATAAAGAAAAAGAGAAGAGTTATATAAAAGGAGAACAGACAAAAAGAGAAGAATAAACAAAAATGAAAGGATAAATTAAAAGATTAATAAACAAAAAGAAAATATTTAATTAAAAGAAGAAGTCTGCTTCTCCAGCACAAAGGCGACAGAACGCGAAGACCGTCGTTGCTCTGCTGTCTGTACACCGCAGCAAAACGAAATAAATAAGTAAATAAATAAATAAATAAATAAAGATTACAAATAATTAAACGAACAACGAACAGAAGGAGACAGAAGAAAAAACGAAGAGACAACGAAAGGAGACAGACAAATAATGAGAAAACAAAAACTAAAAGATTAAATAAAATAAACAAAGGGATATTAACAAACAGAAAATAAAATAAAATAAAAATAAAATAAAATAAAATAAAATAAAATAATAGGAGAAGGTTAGAGAGGAAAAATAAATAAAAACAAAAAAAAAATAAAAAAAAGAAGACGGGGAAAAACAAATAAATAAAAAAGAATAAACAAACAAATAAATAAAAAAGAATAAACAAACAAAT